CAGGTCTCCACTTGGCTTCTTCTGTGATTCTTGGTTATAAGACTTCTGATTCAGCTAGCCTTCAGTTGGTTATTCAGGTTGACTCTTCTATATTTTAGTTGTAATTCCAGTTTGGTCCTGGAAGGATGTGAGTGTAACATCCACCTAATCTACTTCCATCTTAACTCTCCTTCAAAATCTTCCTTTTTAAAAATGTGTGGGTTTCTGTTGTTTCATTTATTTATTCATTAATTGGTTGATTCTTGTCTGAGTTCTGATTGGAGATCAGCCCTGCAACCTTGGTATAGGGGGGAGGGGTGGCACTCTAACCAACTGAGCTACCTGGCTAGGGATGCTCAAATTATTTTCTTAAAGACCAAGAATAAAAACTGTAAATAATTATTGGAAATGTTAGCATGCTTGAGATTTCTTTATTTCAAACATTTTTGGGACTATAGTCTCTCTCAAAAAATTGGAGAGCACTGTTATAAATATATCTCATTCAAATAAAATGAGGAAACATATCATTTGCCTCTGAAAATTGCCATGTCTATTTAGATGCCATTTATCAGCTGTTCAGTGAAAAGAATGAGGCAGAAACAAGGGCAGAAATAAATCTGAAGCCAAATGTTTCTGAAAAAAAAAAGAAATATTCCTCTAAGTGTTACTTCACATGGAGTTAATACAACAGAATACAACTATTTTTAACAATTAGTATAAAACTTAGCATGTAAGGTATAAATATTCAAAATATTTTAAAATCTTCAAGAGTAAGATATCTTTAAAAATAATAAGTAGTCAATGTTCAGAAATTTATAACGTTTTTGTACACTAACAATAAACTATCTGAAAGAGGAACTAAGAAAAAATTCATTTACTATAGGAAACACAAATAAAATGAAATACCTAGAAATAAATTTAACCAAGGTGGTAAAAGCATAATTTTGCTCAAAAAAGTATAGAACACTGAAGAAAGAATTTGAGGAAGATACAAATAAATGGCAATATATACCATGTTCATGGATTAGAAGAATTAACATCATTAAAATGTCCATACTACCCAAAGGAATCTATAGATACAATGCAATTCCTATTAAAATACCAATGGCATATTTCACAGATCTAGAACAAATATTTCAAAAATTTATATTCAATCAAAAAAGACCCTGAATAGCCTCAGCAATATTGAGACAGAAGAACAAAATTAGAGGGATCACAATACCTAATATCAAACTGTACTACAAGGCCACTGTAATCAAAACAGTCCAATAATGGCATAAGAACAAACACAGAGATCAATGGAAGAGAATAGAAAGCCCAGAAAAAAAGCCATGTCTCTATGGTCAATAAATGTTTGACAAAGAGGGCATGAGCATACAGTAGAGTAAAAATAGTCTTTTCAATAAATGGGAGAGTGAAAATAGCCTTTTCAATTCAATGGGAGAACTGGACTGGTATGTGCAAAAAATGAAACCAGGCCACCAATTTAGACCATTCATTAGGATAAATTCAAAATGGATAAAAGATTTAGTAAGTCATAATACCATAAAAGTCCTAGTGGAAAACATAAGCAACAACATTTCAAATATTCCACGCAGCAATATTTTTGCTGATATATCTCCTAGGGCAAGGGAAATAAAGGAAAAAAAATAAACAAATGGACTACATGAAATTAAAAAGTTTCTTCACAGCTAAAGAAACCATCATTAAAATGAAAAGGGAATTGACTTAGTGAGATAACGTATTTGCCAATGACACATCAGACAAAATGTATAAAGAACTCACACAACTCAACACCAGGAAAACAAACAATCTAATTAAAAAATGGGCAAAAGATCTGAATAGACACTTCTCCAAAGAGGACATACAGATGGCCCATAGACATATGAAAGGATGCTCAACATCACTAGCCGTTAGAGAGTTTCAGATTAAAATGACAATGAGATATCATCTCACAACTATCAGAATGACCATCATTAATAAATCAACAAACAACACATGTTGGCATGGGTGTGGAGGAAAGGGAATCATAGTGGTGGGAATGCAGACTGGTGCAGCCACTGTGGAAAACAGTACAGGGTTTCCTCAAAAAATTAAAAATGAAACTGCCTTTTGACCCAGCAATTCCATTGCTGGAAATATACCCTAAGAATCCTGAAACACCAATTCAAAAGATCTTATGCACCCCAATGTTCTTAGCAGCACCGTACACAATAGCCAAGTGTTGGAAAAAGCCTAAGTGCTCATCAGTATATGAATGGATTTGAAAACTGGTACATTTACACAGTGGAATACCATGCTGCAGAAAGAAAGAAGGAGCTTCTACCATTTGGGACATCATGGATGGAACTGGATAATATTATGCTAAGTGAAATAAACCGTCAGTGAAAGACAAATAACATATGATCTCACTTATAAGAGGAATTTAATGAAGAAACTAATGAGCAAAACAGAACCAAAGACATGGAAACATGGAAGACTGACAGCTGCAGGAGGAAAGGGGACAGGGGGGAATGATGGAAAGAAGGGGAAGGGGTTAGTCAAAGAACATGCATAAATGACCCATGGGCATGGACAACGGTGGGGGGATTGACTATGGGAGCTGGTGGGTGGAGGAGGGGAAAGAGGGAAATTGGGACAGCTATAATAAGATAAAAAAGAATTTTAAAAAGTAAAAAATAGTAAAAGAAGTGTAGGTATAAATTTGCCAACATTAAACTAGTGGGAAATATTTCTAAATCTTCCAAGGAAACTTTGAGTCATTAGTGCAGTGCTAATTAATTCCTTTATCTGTATTTTTCCCATAATATACCATAATAAACACTGATATTTGTATACTAAAATGTAGTAAGCTGTGGCTGCATTTTGTTTTGCTCACTGTGTATCTTCTGAAGAGCAAGAATCTGCTTTACAGAAGAAGTATATTTAAACTGATGACAATAGATACTACACTTGATCTTAGCCAAAAGGTGGAGAAGCAATACAAAAGTGTCTAAAAACAAAATACCTCATTCTTATCACTATTTCACATTGAACCGGAGTGAATCACTTATAGATGGCTCAGGACTTAACCCAATTTGCTGCATTTTGAAAAAAAAAAGGTAAAAAACACCCTGCTTTAGTATGCCTGGCCAGTGGTAATATATTTTACAAGCTTGAACCCCAAAATGTGCTGTGCTTTCAAGTTATTGTTTAAATTGTCTGAGGGTACAGGTTTGAGGAACACATTATTTATTTTCCCATACTTATGATCTCTATACATTTTATATTTAATCTTTTGTGGAGAGCTTTTTGTCTTTACCTTGAGCTGAGTGTGTGCTAGGCCATAAAATCAAGTGATGACCCAGTGGAACTGATGGGCACACTAAAGAGATTCCAAACACTGGTTCAGACCAAAAAAGCCAGGGGCTCCAGGCTGGATGAGATAAAACCTCCTTTAATAAGTCTCCATAAGTAAGAATTCAATGAGCTGCTAAAAATACTTTGGGGGAAGAACTGGTATAGTATGTATTAAAAAAGGCCATTTTTATAAAGCCTTAAAGTCATCATTAAACATTTGGTTTATTTCTAATTGCCAAGTTAAATGTGAAACATATCCCCTCCCTGTTCCTGAATTTTGCCTTACCCCTATGTCCCACTCCATTCCTCCCTCCCTTCAGGACCAGGCAAAGGGACAGTGTGAGAGAAAGCTATGGGTGATGGTCAGCAAGGCAATAAGGGTCAGAACCATTCCTTGGCCATAGAAAACAATAGTTTTTAGTTTTGATATGAGTGCAGCAAGAAATGTTATGACATGCAACTTTGACATCTATTTATTAAAAATGCCCTATTAGTCATAATCTTTTGTTTACACCAGTTAAACATTTGAACACAAAAGAGTTGATCACATGGTACAATTTACTATGAGTAATATGTATTTCTATTTCCTGTAACTGGTTTACATATAACTAGAATTTTCATCAGACCTTTCATCACATGTAAATATAGGTCTCACTAATCAACTTTATAGTATTAAATATCTTTTTAATAAATCTTTTTGCAGATTGATATTAAAATGCAAAAATTTAGAATACCAATAGGATTTCAGCCCATATCTGAGATTTCATTCTTTAAAGTAAGACAAAGATTTCATTTGCTTCTTTATAGTGCTTTCTTATACACACGACTTCTAAAAATTATAAATATATAAGACTACATGCACACCATATCATTCTTAGAAGATGTGGGGAATTTTTGCAATTGTTTTTTCTCAAGTGTCATTCAGTATACTATTTGCAGGTGGCAGTCATTCCAGTCAAACTGACTTTAATCATTAAATATGATTAAATGGATTTTTAAATATTTTAAACATTCACTGAGCCACACCAGCCAGGGTCTTTTTTATTGATTCATTTATTTTTTTAAAGAACTTATACATACGACCCATGTACATGAACTAAGGAGAGTGGAATGCTGTGGGAATGGGGCTGTAGGGTGGAAGGGAATAAAGGGGAGAAAAAAATGGGACAACTATAATGGCATAATCAATAAAATATATTTTTTAAAAATTTAAAAATTCAAAAAATTTTGGTAAATAAATCTCTCATTACAAAACAAATAATTTAATATACAAAATACTCTTTCAAAATGGTATTATAAATTATTTTGTTAAATTTTTTAAAATGTATTTTCTATGTTTATTTTTTTAAAGATTTTATTTATTTATTTATTTTTAGAGAGGGAAGGGAGTGGGAGAGAGAGAAAGAGAGAGGGAGAGAAACATCAATGTGCGGTTGCTGGGGGTCATGGCCTGCAACCCAGGCATGTACCCTGACTGGAAATCGAATCTGCGACACTTTGGTTCCCAGCCCGCGCTCAATCCACTGAGCTATGCCAGCCAGGCCTATTTTGTTAAATTAAATGACTGTTTTATCCTCTGGTATTCATCCATTTCTGTTATAAAATGAACCATAATATTCATAATTCCTACACATATAAAATTATTATACTTACTTGTTAACTTACTTTTCTTTGTCATTCAGAAGCTGAAGATACAACCTTGGTTTCCTGTATGAAATTATCCAAATTTCAAGAAAAGAAAGTTAATAATATTAGCACAAGGAAGAAAGAAAAAATAGAGTTCAGAGTGGATTCTCTGTCTTCATCACTGTTTAGATCCAACACTTCAACTGGATGCAACTTGGCAGAAATGTTATCTTACAATGAAGGTAAAATTCAAATGTACAACAATTTGAAGCCTTTTCCAGATAAAACACTCTGGACAAGTGCTGATTTGGAAATTGCCCAAGTAGGACCCCAGGACAACCGTTTTTGCCGTAATCACCACCCACGTCTCAAGTCTTCTTGTACAGATATGCATCTCTCACTTTTGTGGGTAAGTCTGTAAATGTCAGAAATGTATCCTCTTATCTGGATGTTTGTGCTGACAGGAAAAAAACAGATAACAAAAGTGCTAATCAGTCAAATTTATCAGTGTCAGGAAAGTTACCAGAGCTAGACTTAACTTTCCAAGTAGCAATGCAGCTCTTGTGACTTTTGCTATCATGTTACTATAATATATATATTTCTGTTTTCCTTTTTTTAATGTTTTGATTCTTTTTATTGTATTCTTTTCCCATTACAATGTATCCCCCTTATACCTTCTCCATCCACACTCACAACCTCCTTCCCACTCACAATCGTCACACTGTGTCAGTGTCCATGGGCTCCCTTTATTTTTTTACTTGATCTCCCCAGTCCCACAATACCCACTTCCACCTCCAACTCCCTGCTCTCTTATCTGTGAGCCTGTCTCTATTTTGCTTGCTACTTCAGTTTGTTCATTAGATTCCACATAAGTGAAATCATATGGTACTTGTCTTTTTTTGACTGGCTTATATTACTTAGGATAAAGTTCTCCAGGTCTACCCATGCCATCACAAAGGGTAAAATCTTCTTTAAAAAAAAAAATTAGCAGAATAGTATTCCGTTGTGTAAATGTATCGTAGCTATTGTATCCACTCAACTACTGATGGACACTTGGGCTGCTTCCAAGTCTTGGCTATTGTAAATAAAGCTGCAATAAACATAAGGATGCATATATTCTTTTGAATTAGTGTTACAGGTTTCTTCAGATAACTTTCTAGAAGTGGAATCTCTGGGTTATAAGGGAGTTCTATCTGTAATGTTTTGAGGTAATTCCATAATGCTTTCCACAGAGGCTGCATCAGTCTGCATTCCTACTAACAGTGCACAAAAGTTCTGCTTTCTCCACATCTCACCAGCACTTGTTTGTTAATTTATTGATGGTAGCCATCTGAAAGATGTGAGGTGATATCTCATTGTGGTTTTAATTTGCATTCCCCTGATGATTAGTAACACTGAGAATCTTCTCATATGTCTATTGGCCATCTGTATGTCCTCTTTGGAGAAGTGTGTATTAAGGTCCTTTGCCCATTTTTTACATTAGATTGATTGTTACTTGAGTGTTGAGATTTTAAAAGTTCTTTATAAATCTTGGACAACCCCCTTGTCACATGTATCAGTGAATATATTCTCCTATTCAGTGGGCTGTCTATTCATTTTGCTGATGGTTTCCTTTGCTGTGAAAAATCTTTTTAGTTTGATGTAGTCCCATTTATTTGTTTATTTATTTTTTCCCTTGACTGAGGAGATATACATAAAAAATATTGCTATGAGAAATGTCCAAGATTTTACTACTTATGTTGTCTTCTAAGATTTTTATGATTTTAAGTCTAACATTTAAGTCTTTAATCCATTTTAAGTTTATACTTATGTGTGGTGTAAAAAGGTAGTCTAGTTATGTAGTTTTTTTGCATTCATCTGTCTAATTTTCCCAATACCTTTTTAAAAAATAAGCTATCTTTAGCTCATTGTATCTGCTTGTTTTGTCTGCCAAATATGAATCGACTATAAAGGGCATATTTCTGGATTCTCTATTGTTTCATTGAACTATTTGTATGTTTTTATGCCAGTACCACACTGTTTTAATTACTGTGGCCTTATAGTATAGTTTGATATTATGTAGATGACCTCCTACTTTGTTTTTCTTCCTCAAGATCTCAGCTGCTATTCAGGCCTTTTGTGTTTTCATACAAATTTTTGGAATATATGTTCTAGTTTTATGAAATAAATTATTGGTATTTTGATAAGAATTTCACTGAATCTATAGATTGCTTTGGGTAATATGGACATTTTAATGATCTTCATTCTTCCTATCCATAACCACGGTATATACTTCCACTTATTTGTATCTTCTTCAGTGTTTTTCTTCAGTATCTTATAATTTTCAAGCACAGGTATTTTACATTCTTGGTGAAAATTTTTCCTAGGTATTTTATTCTTTTTGAAGCAATAGTGAATGGGATTGTTTTCTCTATTTCACTTTCTTTTTAAAGTTCATTATTGCCATATAAAAACACAACTGACATCTGGATGTTAATTTTGTGTCCTGCTACTTTACTGAATTCATTTATTAGTTATAGTAGTTCCTTGGTAGAATCTTTAGGGCTCTCTATATACACTATCAAGTCATCTGCAAATAATGACAGATTTAGTTCTTCCTTTCTAGTTTAGATGCCTTTTATTTCTTCTTGTCTGCTTAACCTAGGTAGAACTTCCAGAAACCATGTTGAACAAGAGTAGTGAAAGTGGGAATCCCTGTCTTGTTTCTGATCATAAAGGGAACATTTGTAGTTTTTGCCCATTAAGTATAATGTTGGTTGTGGGTATGTCATACATTGTCTTTATTATATTGAGGTTTATTCCCTCTATTCCCACTTTGTTGAGAGTTTTTATCATAAATGGGTGCTGAATTTAATCAAATGCTTTTCTAGCATCTATCACTATGCTTTTGTGGTTTGTATCCTTCATTTTGTTTATGTGGTGTACTATGCTTATCGATTTGCATATATTGTAAGCACCTTGCATTCCAGAGATAAATCCCACTTGACCATGGTGTAAGATTTTTTTGATGTATTTCTCTATTCATTTCAATAATATTTTGTTAGGGATTTTAGCACTTCTGTTCATCAGGGATATGGACTTATAATTTTCTTTCTTTGTAGTATCTATATCTGGTTTTGGAATTAGAATGATGCTGGCCTCATAAAATGAGCTTGAGAGTCTTCCTTCCTCTTGAATTTTTTGGAACAGCTTGAGAAGAACTGTTAGTTCTTAGAATGGTGAAATTTACCTATAAAGTTATCCAATCCAGGGCTTTTGTTTGTTGACAGTCTTTTGACTACTTCAATTTCACTAATTTTAATCTGTCTATTCAAATTCTCTGATTTGTCCTGATTTAGTTTTTGAAGATAGTATATTTCTAGGAATTTATCCATTTTGTCCAGGTTGTCCAATTTGTTAGCATGGAGTTGTTTGTAACATTTTCTTACAATCCTTTGTATTTCTTTGATGTCAATTGTTACTGCTTGTCTTTCATTTCTGATTTCATTTATTTGGGTCCTCTATCTTTTTTTTTTCTTGATGAGTCTTGTTAAAAGTTTATCAATCATGGTTATCTTTTCAAAGAAATGGCTATTGGATTTGTTGATCTTTTGTGTTGTTTCTTTTTAGACTCTATTTCTGTTCTGATCCGTATTATTTCCTTTTTTCTATTCACTTTTGGCTTTGCTTCTTGTTCTTTTCCAAGTTGTGTAAAGTTAGATTATTCCTTTGTGCTGTTTTCTTTTTTCTTGAAATAGGTATGTTATGCTATGAATTTCACTCTTTCAAAGTGGGTATTTGTTTCAAGGTATCATTTGTTTCTTCCTTGATCTCATTGTTAACCCATTCACTGTGTAATAATATGTTGTTTAGCCTCCGTGTCCTTGTGTATTTTTCAGTTTTCTTCTTGTGATTGATTCGTAGTTTGATAACATATGGTAAGAGAAGATGATTGAAATGATTTTAATCTTCTGAAACTTACTGAGACTTGTTTTGTGTCTTCACATGTAGTCTATCCTAGAGAATGTTCTCTGCTTTAGGGTGGAATGCTCTGAAGATATTAAGTCCATTCAATCTTCTGTGTCATTTAATACTGCCATCTCCTTGTTGATTTTCTGTCTGGACAATCTATCCATTGATGCCAATAGGGTTTTAAAGTGCCCTATATATTTAGATGCTTCTATTTTGGGTCCATAAATGTTTACTAGGGTTGTGTCTTCTTGTTAGATTGTTCCCTAATCATTATGTAGTGTCCTCACCATGGCCTTGCTTTTAAAGTCTATTTTGGCAGAAATAATGAATGGCACCCCAGTTTTTTTCCCTTTTTAATTTTCATGAAATATCTTTTCCATGCCTTTAATTTTAGTCTTTGTGCATCTTTTATTTTGTGGTGGTTTTCTTGTAGACACCATATATACAGGTCTTGTTTCCTTATCCACTTAGCTACCCTATATCTTTGATCAGAGCATTTAAGTCATTTACATTTAAAGTGATTATTGATAGATATGTATTTATTATAATTTTTCTGAACTAGTAATCTGATTTTTTTTTCTTCTTCATCTTAAATCCAGCCCTTTAATATTTGTTGTAATACTGGTTTTGTGGTAACAAACTACTTTAGCTTTTTTTTCCTCTGGGAAGTTCGTTTTTTCTCCTTCAATTTTAAATGATAGCTTTGCTGGATAAAGTGGCTTTAGTTGTAGGTTCTTGCTTTTTATCACTTAGAATATTTTGTGCCAATTCCTTCTAGCCTGCAATGCTTCTGTTGAAAACTCAGATACACTCTTATGGGAGCTCCCTTATAGGTAACAAACTTCCTTTCTCTTGCAGCTATTAAGATTCTCTCCCTTTGTTTAAGTTTCACTATTTTAATTATGCTGTGTCTTGGTGTGGGCTTCTATGTGTCTGTCTTGTTTGGGACTCTGTGCTTTCTGAACTTGTGTGCCTTTTTCCTTCACCAGGTTAAGGAAGTTTTTGGTTATTATTTTGTCAAATAGTTCCCAATCTCTTACTCTCTCTTTTTTTGCTCTGCTATCCCTATGATGTGGATGTTGTTATACTTCCTATTGTCCCAAGGTCCCTCAAACTATCCATATTTTATTTATTTATTTATTTATTTATTTATTTATTTATTTATTTATTGCTCTGATCGGGT